GTGGGCATAGCGATCAAGGAGGCCATGTAGGAGAGTGTGGGCGAGGAAGGTAGGACGGTGGAGTGCATGAGCCCGAGACTGATGATGGTGCATCTACAAATTGGCCGCACCTGCCGAGTAACTTTCATGGTGGGGTACGCCCCAACGGAAACTGTCCGCACCACCGCGGGCGGTGATGTTAACGCCAAGGACTCCTTCTGGACTACTCTCGACGCAGCGATCCGGGAGGTTCACAGCCGTGACCATCTCGTGGTGCTAATGGACGCCAACGCACGCACTGGCAGGAGGCGAGACGGGTGCTGCGATGGCAAGATTATGGGCGCGTACGGACGCGACATTATGAACAACAACGGGGAACGACTCCTTGGACTGGCATCAGACAACCAACTCTCCCTGACCAACACCTACTTTCGGACACCGAAAGGTGGAGTGCAGCACACATGCCAGAGCTCCAACAAGGGGAAGGAGAATACCGCCTCGACTTCATCCTCATGCGTCAGACGGACCGGCGTTTCTTGCGTAAAGTCTCCATCAAACGTGTCGACTTCAAAGACTCTAACCACAACCTCGTGCTTACGACTTTCCGCCTCCCCCCCCGTGTCGCACCCAACCGACGAGTGCGGGGGAACAGCGGAAGCAGCCGGATCCGTATCGACCTCGAGCGGTTGAGGAAGGACAAACACCTACGGGTCGCCTTCCAAAACAGGGCCTCCAGCCGCCCTCCGCCCACGGCGCTCAGGCGGCCAACGGGAGAGACCGCCGCCGAGCTGACGGCTACGGTGATGTCGGCCGCTGCTGAGACCGCGCCGCTGGCGAGGTGCGCACGAGGGCAGAGAGGCTGGTACACGAGCGAAGCGCAGCACGAGATCTCCGAAGCGTCTAAGGAGATTAAGGCGGCCCAGCAGCAACTGCGAGGGGTCTCAAAGAACAGCGCCTTCGAGGCGACCCTGAAGGCGATGCTCAAGGCGGCGCGGAAGAAGCGCAGCATCGCGAGGTGGAGAGCACTGGAAACGTTCTTCGAGGGCTATGTACGGCAGCTCGAGAAGAAGAGACGCGCGGGGGATCAGGCGGGTTTCTACAGGCACCTGAAGATGATCGACGTCGAAGGTAAGAGGTCGTTCACCTCTCAGAACATCAAGGACGAGGACGGCAAGGTCCTTCGGGACCCCACGTTTATTCGCCAACGGTGGGCACGGTGGTTCCACAAGCTTCTCAACACCAAGTCGCCGACCATCGACCTGCATGCGGCTGACAAGGTCAAGCGGTGGCCCACGTGCGTGCCACTCGACGACATCCCATCTCTACTTGAGGTTGAGGAAGCGGTACGGGAAATGGCCAACAGAAAGGCCGTCGGGCCGGACAACCTACCGGCTGAGCTGATCAAGCTTTTCCTGGACGGAGATCAAGGTCTCCTCCGCGAGTTCCACGCCATTGTCGTGGACGTGTGGCAGACTGGGGACGTACCACAGCAGTGGAAGGATGCCACCATCAAAGTGCTGTTCAAGAAGGGGGACACGATGGAGTGCGGCAACTA